AAGGTTTGTGGATTTTTGTTGGACGCACTAGTAAAGGGATTGGCAGGTGCTGGCTTGGTTTGTTGATCTCTTCCGAGTGTAGGATTATAACTGAAAGGAACGTTTCTGATACAACAACCCTTCTCCTGGCTTGCCCCTTGATTCAAAATGCTCTCATTCTGAGTGGCAAAAGTGTCGTCCACAGCCTTTGCAACAACTGCGAGCACTTGCTCTTTGTTTAGTCCCTCAGCTTTCAAAGCCTCAACAGCCAACAGAAGATGTTCATTGGGATCCATGTCCGCCGCTATCTTATTCCTCCCACTCACCTCCATTCCGCCAAGGGATTGGCTTTCCTCAAATGCAGCCTGTCCCAACATCGGGGAGTCTCTTGACATGAAGTTCCCGGTATGTGGTGTGGTCGATGATGGAGCCAATGTCCCGGAGGCCAGATCCGTCACGGTTTTTTGAAGATCTTTAATCATTCCCATCAACTCAGAAGTAGTGGGTTCACGGGTTTGAGATGGTTGAGGTTCAGGTGCACCCATCATGCATAAGTCCATGCTTTCTGGGATAAACACCTCAGGCTTGGGTAGATGGGCCGGGGTGATGTATATGCTGGGGTCAAAGGTGGATGGCAGTATGTGGATGTGATTGAGGTAGGCAGGAGAAGTTTGGTCATTGGGGTCTGAAGGTGGAGCTATCGTCCGGTTGTCAATGAGATTTTGGACCTCATGACGAAGGCGGTAGCAACAGTCTGTGCCATGACTGCGCTGCTGATGGTACACACAGTACTTGGCGGGGTTTTGTCTGGCTGGGAGTGGGTTGGGAAGAGGTTGAGGATCGAGGGGTTTGAGATGCCCTTTTTCCATCAAGGCTTTTAGTGTGCTAGTCAGGCTCATATAGAGGGGGGTGAAAGTTCTACCCTGAGTTCGGACTGGGCCAGCTGTTTGTAGGCTCGGTTTGGCAAAAGGGTCGGCTGTGGTGACCGTATTGATTTCGGTGGGTTTGGGAATAGCGCTACCAGCGTTGGTACTCCTTGAAATCACCTTCCTTGTCAGTTCCCTTGTCCTGGGAATGATCCCGCTGTTGAACGCATTCTCGACTTGAACCCCCAGTTCATGCAAACTTTTGAAAGTGAATAGCGGAGCGACTATCAACTTTTGCAACATATCATGCTCGAGGTTTCGCACCATCATCTGCACTTGATCCCTCTCAGAAGGGCGGCGATCTATCATCTGTGCTGCCTTTGCTCTCCACCTCACAACAAATTCCACAAAAGGCTCTGTTGGGTTCTGGCGAGTTGCTTCAAGCTCTTGGATGGTTCATTTACACTTGGGTATTGTAGGAATACTGATCAACAAAGGCGCTGGCCAGTTCTTCCCAGTTTTGCTCACTGTATCCTCCAATTTGGTATACCAAGTGGCGCACACCCGACAGGGTTCTTCCATACAAGAGAGTTTCTGTGGTTAGCAGACCCATCGGCTTCAGGACATCTAAGAAAACAGTCGGATATGTACCATTGGATCTCCAGACCCGTGAAACGGTTCGATTATTATAGCATTTTGAATCTGTCTGGGAGCCGGGGAAGCCTCGTGTGCCCTCCTCAATGCAGGAATGGAGTTAGGCCCTGTGCCCTTTTAGAATTGCTTCTCAAG